CATAGAGGGATTAACACCATGAAAGTTGGAAGGGTTGAACGAACCATATATATACGATTGTACAGCTTGATGATAAATTCTTTGAAAAGAGTCTCTTCGCTGAATCATTTGTTTTGATTTTCTATATATATATATATATATATATATATATATATATACATATATATATATATATATATGTACATATATATATATATCGTTTATATAGTCTATTAATTTACCATCCTTAACGAAAATGACCACCCATACAGATACTAAAGTGAGTGTAGGACTTGGGCACTATGGTAGGATGTAATTCCATATTAGATAAGTTTATTTTAAATATCACACATTGAGTGATGAAGTATTAACAGCTGGATGACGTTTCGAGCATAAATTATTGCCACTTATATCACATTATGATATCATCATTCATATTATTTATTTTTTTTCCTTTACTTTCGAGTGGAACATGGGGCTTCGAGCTAGAGCCAGCTTGAAGTTTCGGTCGCAGTGGTGTTTTATTTTTACGGGATGGGGTTGTTAGCCTCATGCCCAACCTTCCCTCTTTACCAGTCTGATTACTGGCTTAGTGAGGTAAAGGAGTGCGTCGGTGGCCGGGGATCGAACTCCGCACTATGTGCATGGTTGGTGAGCATTCTACCGCTGTGCTGCCGACGCAAATCTAATCACAATACTTACACTTATTTGGACGTTTCAACTAACTAACTATCCGTCTCTCTCCTAGATTCCATCTCTTTGCTCTGACGTTTGCATATCATCTATTGACTTGACCCTGATTACTTGTCTTTGTCCCTGTTAAGTATCTCACTTTAATCCTTCGCTTTATGGTTGCGTGTACATCGATAATGTGTTGTTTAACAGTATAATTTTGTTTGACCAAATAAAGGTCATTCCGTCCTTGATCTGTCAGCGGGAAGCATTAGTGTGTGATTCTTGCTTACACACTTTTCATCCCACCATGTTGGGAATAATCTGCTTGATTTCATGTGCTTGTTTTGCACTTGAAACATCCTCTTATCTGTATAGTTGCCTAGTGGCACTGCTGAGGCAATTTTGAGTTTTTGATGTTATAATTACTGAAGAAGAGAACCATAGATCCACAGACGAATAATCGCCTTTTTTCTGTCTTTGGAGCATTTTGTGACTGCGTTTCTCAAGGAAGTAGTTTCGGACAGGCACACAGTTGGATGCAGAGATCGGTTTCCTGCATTCCGACCACAACGAGTCGATTTTGGTCATATGTACAGAATTCATATCATGTAAGTGGTGTGAACATGGGGCAAAGTTAAACAATAGCGTCCCAGGGGATGCGAACGCACGAGTGACCTTGAGCCAACCAATCATAAAAATAAGTGACTTTTACACACACAAAAATGACGTTTATTTACAAGAAAATGCATGAAAACACACTAAACAGCGTATGTTTATCTGAAATGACTGAAAAATACATCCCAAGTATAATGAAGGTTATCAGTTTTTAAGTTAGACCAGTTTCTGCACATGGGTATTCACTGGGGTGACTGAAGATGAGCGGTTTTTATGAATCGTTTATCTGTCTTATCCTGTTGTGCAGTATTTCCTAAAAGCTGTCAGTTGAATTACTATAGTTTCCAGTAAGAGGATCGACGACTACTTACCAGGAAAATGTGGATGATAAAACAAATTAAAATAAATAATGCCAAATCTAAATCTATCCCAAATCGTAACCCTAACCTTAATCCTGACCGAAACCCTCAGCTTCACACTAACCCTAATCTTGGTGCGAACCCTAACTATAACCCTGATCCTAACCCTAACACCTACCCTAACCCTAGAGAGCTACTAACACCTTATCCAAACAGTACTTAAAAACGTAATCTGGGTGAAATTCGCTCTTTAGTTGGTGAAAGGCGTTCATATTTGTGCTGTAATAATGACAGGTATCCTTAGCCAACGACTAGCATGCGTTCAAGGTCATCTGAGCGTTCGCCTCCCTTAGGACGCTATTGTTTAACTTGGCCGTGAACAGAACAAATGTGGGATCATTTTAAAGATTGATTTAAATAATACTCATCAAAATGAAGTTTAAATTTGAAACCTGAAAAAAAGTGGTAGGACCAGTTTCCTTTGTGTGCATAGAATGGGCTTTTGTGTGTGTGTGGATGGCTAGGATTTCAACAGTGTGAAGAATTAGAATGTCTACTTTCTTCATGAGAATTTTCTTCACTTTATGCGTGGTCACCATTGGTAACATGTTGATGCAACCACGACGGAATTTTGGAAACCACTCCAATGTCAAAAATGAAATCCAAAAAATTACTTCAGCGTTTCAGATTGGTCGAAACAACACTGTTGACATATATTCAAACGGATGGCGTAGGTATGAGGAGCCCATTAGGGCCTCTGTTTGCAGATATGTTTCCGGGGAGTTTAGAATATACTGCCTTAAAGGATTTTAAAGGAAAAGTTGACATATACCTACGGTATATGGATGATATATTCATAGTATGGAGAGATAAGGTTGAAGTCGAAATAATGTTAGCAGAATTTAATTCGTGCCAGGCTAGTATAGAATTTACAGTGGAACATGAAAGCAATTTTGCTATACATTTCTTGGATGTAAATCTTCCTAAACAGGTTGATGGAACTGTAGAGAGATCGATTTTCGGAAACCAACTTGAATGGAACAATTTATACATTTCAATAGCTTCGTCTCAGTTCAATACAAAAGGAGTCTGGTAAGAGCATTATTCGATAGAGGAAGAAGGATATATTCCAGTAGCAGACTAGACTACAAGGCGAAATTCTTGAGGGAGGCACTAGTGAGTAATGCGTATTCGGGAGGGTTTATAAATAATTATGCAAGAGGATAATAAAGGAATAGCAATGGCAGAGACCGTTTCTAAAAAGAAGGTTTATATAAAGTTACCTTTCAAGTCAGACTGTTGGAAGCGAGAGAAAGGAATACGCCAGACCATTGATAAGAAGACTCTAGAAGATCTGGATTTCACAGATGATATATGTCTACTGTCACACAAACTCGAAGAATTACTGGTGAAAAGCAAAAAACTGGCTGAAGACGCTAGCAGGCAGTGAAGACAGGACTGCATGTGAACATAGAGAAGATAGACGTGATAGAGATAACCAAACAGCAACCAACAACAACCATCACCAATCACCATCAACAGGAGTGATTTAACTAAAGTTGCCTCCTTCACAGTTTCAACCACAGGGACGGATGAAGATGTCAAAGCTGTAACAAGGCGTATCTGCAACATGAGTTCTTTCAAGGTTGCACATATGCCTTGCTGATGAGTGCCAACTAGCACGAAACCGTGATTTGACTAGATGTATTTGCTTTCTATCTCCTGTGTTTTGGATTGGTGAGTAATACTGAGGTTAAGCGTCGATGAGGTTAGGAAACCACATCGATTGAAATGGCGAGAGGTATTGAGCATGAAAATCCATCTCCTTTCTCGTCGAAAAGTTTTAGCCCACACTTAATTACGTCACAAGAGAGTGGTGGGATGGTCTAGTCAAAACACGGTATTAGTCCATAAAGTCCATGATTATGAGCAATAGTTTGTGCTCGAAAGGTGGTCATCAGTTAATATTACTGTATAACACTGTGATTTATCAAAATAAAATCTTATCCATAATGGAGTTATACTCTGCCACGACAGTGCCCAAGTTTTATACTTATATCTTTGACTATTGGTTTGAGTAGGTCTTTGAGACTCAAGAAAAAAAAAGGGTGGAGACTGCCGCTAACATAGCTCAAAATTCTCCACAATGGTGCAGCTGTATCTGGTCTTTATGGACTCATAGATCCATTGGATTCTCATTATTGCTGTTGATGTTTTCTTCCGTATATTTCCAAATTAGGAAACACCTGATAGACATAAGATACAGAATAGACGCGCTGACATCAGCCTTCGCTTCTCCGAGGCTATTCCACTCTTTATAGCATCTTCTCCTATTTTTTCCGCCTAATGTGTGGTGAGCAACCTGCTTTATCTACTTGAGAAGCATCGTCTCAACTACAGGTGGACGGAACTGATGAGGATATCAAAGCGAGGATCGGGAAAGCAAGGCAAGGAAACTTCTATTTCTCTCAAGTCTGTGAGGAGGTCAGCAGCACTCAGCATGAAAATGAATATAAGATCCGGATTTTCAACTCCAATGTGAAGTCAGTGCTGCTTGCTATACGGATCAGAGACTTGGCGCCGCGCCACGAAGAGCATTTCGAACAAACTACACACCTTAATCAATAGCTGTGTCTTCGCTCAATACTACTCAAGATCAGATGGCCGGCCAGAAAAGATCAGCAACAGGGGGGGATCTCTGGGAGCGAACCAACCCAGCAGGAACCAATTGTGCAACAAATATGCAGGAAGAAATGGAGGTAATTTGGTCACACTCTCAGAAAACAAACCACCAAATGACATCACTCGAGTGGAACCCGAATGGGGAGCAGCGAGTCGGCCGTCAGTGCGAGGTTGACATGGAGGAGGTGATGTGAAGAGGGGATGAAAGCATGTGGGCAGACGTGAAGCCAGGTGATGAAAGCATTGGCAGAGAACCGAATGCAATGGAGACGTGCGGCTGAAGCTCTATGTTCCTGTAGGAACTAAAGGAGACAATAATAATATAATAACGTGTGGTAAGTTGTTGTACTTTGGTGCAGCGTTATACATTGAAAACTTAATCACAGTTATTTCTCAATCAGCCCCGTGTCTCAATAAGTGACCATTTTAATATTAAACGAATCAATAAGGAGAACACCAGAAATCACAACTTGACAAATATATAATGGAGAAGAACACAAGACTTTTCTTTATCCAAAAATACTCTTAATTATATGTATATAAAAATAGGTTGAATTTGTAAAATGGTTTTTGCAATCTGTTAAACCCTGTCACCTCCAAGCAACTTTTTTAATTGGTACAGGATCTTCAATCACCTTACAGATGATGGGAAAATTCTTTTGTGTTGAGCTTCCTTTTTTACATTGACGTTTTGCATTGGATGTAGTTGGTTTATTCGTGGCGATAACATTTTGGCATGGTCTGACAGTTGTTACAACTTCAACAGCCCGACAAAGTTTTGTATCATTGCTGACACTTTTATTCACTGGAATACGATGCGTCGATGGAGGTTTTGAAGAGCTTCTCTGAAATTTAAAATTTGCGGTAACACAAGAATATTGAATTGAAAGAGTACTTTTAAGCACAATGATTACTGAATTTTCAATAAGATGCAAAATATCCTTATGAAAGTACTTTATTGGATGTTTTGAGGCAATCAGCCACAAGAAGCCTTGGACGTAGGTTTCGCGTGCTTGTTGGTACTCTTCAGTTAACAAGGAACACCTCCAACCTTGAAGGAAATTATGTCCCTTCTGAGATTCGAATCCGAGTCACCCAGTACTGCAGTCAAAGACGTTACCACCACTGAACTATTCGGGACTGCGATTGACCTCCTGTAGGACTGTATTAGATACTTTGATTGGACACTAACCAGAGTCATGAGTTTCTTCATGACTGAAGATACTCCCTGCTGACCAGTGAGTACCAACAAGCAGGAAATCTATGTCAGTTAGGTCTTCTTGTGGCTGACCGTTTCCAACAATTCTAAGTGTATTGTGATGGTGAGCCACCTAGCTTGATGGTGGCCATATTGCACACTTGACTGATAGAATTCAGTCTGCAGCAAATAAAGGACTAGACACATAACACCAGTCAGTAACCAATCAAAATGACGGAAATTTATTGATTTCAGTTCCCCTGCATTACAGTTTACTTCTCAGATCTGAGAGAAAAACAGAAATCATTGACGGTATATAAGATCAAGTATCTTCATAAACAGGAAATGTAAATCACGTTAATTGCCCACATGTTCTATTTATTATAATTGTTATTATTATTACTGCTTCCTTTAATTCCTACAGGAACATAGGGCTTCAGCCGTGCGTCTCCATTGCGTTCTGTTCTCTGCTAGAGTCTTCACCTGGCTCCAAGTCTGCCCACATGACCTCCTCCAAGTCACCCTCGCACTGACGACCAACTCTCTGCCTCCCTTTCGGTTTCCACTCGAGCAATGGCTTGTCTAGTGATGTCACTTGATGGTTTCCTCAGAGTATGGCCAATCCATCTCCATTTCTTCCTGCCTATTTGTAGCACAATCGGTTCCTGGTTGGTTCGCTCATTGCCAGAGATCTCTGTTGCTGATGTTGTCTGGCTGGCCATCTGATCTTGAGTATTGAGCGAAGACAACTGTTAATGAAGGTCTGTAGTTTGTTTGAGATGCTATTTATGACGCACTGGCCAAGTCTCTGATCTGTTTAATCTGTTAATCTGTTTCAATTAATGCCTTCTTTTTCCATAACATAAATACGACTGCACAGCTGGCTTGAAAATCAAGTCATTGAAAAAGAAACAGTATTTCTTCGCTGAACAAAACTAGGCTCTACCTAATGAATTAAACTGAATTGCCTGAGTTTTAAATATAATGAAATCCAAAAACTTTGTGTCATCAGTATTGACTGTGAGAAGGAAGACATCCATAGACATTAAATTCCATACATAAATGAGATCTGGATTGTCAACTCCAATGTGAAGTCAGTGCTACTCACTATACGGATCAGAGACTTGGCCAGTGCGTCATAAATAGCATCTCAAACAAACTACAGACCTTCATTAACAGTTGTCTTCGCTCAATACTCAAGATCAGATGGCCAGCCAGACAACATCAGCAACAGAGATCTCTGGCAATGAGCGAACCAACCAGGAACCGATTGTGCTACAAATAGGCAGGAAGAAATGGAGATGGATTGGCCATACTCTGAGGAAACCATCAAGTGACATCACTAGACAAGCCATTGCTCGAGTGGAAACCGAAAGGGAGGCAGAGAGTTGGTCGTCAGTGCGAGGGTGACTTGGAGGAGGTCATGTGAAGAGGAGATGAAAACGTGTGGGCAGACTTGGACCTAGGTGAAGACTCTAGCAGAGAACAGAACGCAATGGAGACGCACGGCTGAAGCCCTATGTTCCTGTAGGAATTACAGGATATAATAATAATGATAATAATAACAATTTACCATGTTCGAGGGGTGGAATTTTCACCATACTCCCTTTGGGGGCTAAATTATTCAGAGCACCACAGTATGTGATCTGCTTGGCACCATAAATGGTGGTAATCAAGAAAACAAGCAAATTCGCATAAAACCACATATACTACTGGTTGACTGGGATCAGTAGTTTGTATATTACTCATATCAACCAGTAGTGAGTGCTTGCTAGTCAGCCGGATCGAGGTTGATCTAAACACTGGACAGCCATTTTGCTCGTTTAGCGTCGAGTCCATATCAGCAGTGCACTCTGTTTTACTCAACTATGACAGCCGAAACAATGGTGAAAATTTCACACATGATAAATAGCTGAACAATTTGCGAATTGTCAGTTTTCTTCGATAAATTACTGCCTTATCTTCAACCTACTGCACCCTACAAGTCACGGGTTTCCACTAGAGCCCCACGTCACTGCCTGAATAGGCCCAGTCGCTATTGAGCCTAATGGTCTGCAAGCTAGCTCGGCTTGTAACCAGACAGTCCTGGGTTCGAACCATGGCGGTGGGTGAGTACTGATGAAGAGCCACAAAACTAGGACGAAACAGCTGTCCAGTACTCTCTGGTGATTTTCCAGTGGTTTTCTAACTGATGTCAGCTCATGATGAAACCTTCCAACAAATCAAGCTAAATCCCTACAATACCCAATACTTGAAAATTGTCGGTTTGTTTCATGGTGTAACCGGTCCACCCAAGTAGCTTGCTAGAAATCGGCTGGCTTGAAGTGATTCGGCCCTCCGAGCTGAGTGAAACCGAGTGCACCATTGAGGAACTCAAACCTAAAGAAGAGAAATGGCTGTCCGGTGTTTAGATCACCTCGATCTGGCTGGGTAGCAAGCACCACTGGTTGTTATGAGTGGTAACCAACTACTCATCTCAATCAACCAGTAGTATATAGTTTCAAGCAGTAAGGGACACTAAAAATTCCTCAGACAATACACACAAATGATGATAAGAATGAAGATAATTAACGTGATGTTTAAGGAGGTGCATAGATAAGATTTCTCTTCCTACATGGAAGTACCCAACTGTTGAAGTTAGTGTACCACTGTGTAAAGGTTTGTTTCCGGTGGACCGACTTTCTTAATGTGCCATAATCTGTTGCGTCTTGCATAACATCTCAGAAGTGAAGTGTGAAATTCTACTCTTATTGATAGTGAAGAGCATAGCTAGGTGCCAAGGAGCTCAGCAGTTGGACAGTTATCAACACACAAATAATAAAAGTGTCATCGATATACCGAAAGCCAACCTTTACAGAGAAGTACACTAACTGCAACACTTGGTTATCTCTAGGTAGGAAGTGAAACTTTATTCATTCTCTATGATAGAGAATTTTGAAAATTTGCTCCATATATACAGTTGTTAAAGAACTGGAAGACCTTTATACAGTACTCTTAAATAATGAAGATCCTAGAAGAATTATTGGAAAGAACATGAAGAAAGAAATTGCTCCTAGCCAAGTTATTCTAAGTTAACACACTCCACTGCTGAGGTCATTAAAAATCGTGTATCAAACACTCCTTTTATGCCACTTGATATTCAGTCGAATTATGATTCGACAATGTAACAAGGATAAACTACCGTTTATTTCCATCTCTATGTGCAAAAAGGTCTTCCACATACTCGCGTGGAGCTGGACGTCGTGAGCATCTTCTGAGGAAATGTGTAGCTGAACACCATCCAGTTTGGTTGATAAAAGGCGAACATAGGGTGATGAAGTCTTCCATTTGTGAATAGCTTCTTGAATCAGGTCATTTATCCCCAAATAATTTATCCTTCTAGGTTATGTACAGGGCCAAGTTCATTCACTCTAAAAGTTTACGTTGTCTCCACTCATGTATCGACCAAGCTCTAGCTATATATTAGCAGAACTGTGGATTATGTATTTAAAAACTTATTGTTAGACCTTTTTTTTAGCTTGATCATAATTAATGCTCTTTTTTTATTGTTATTTTATCATACCACTTGAATTTATTCCACTTCACTTCATCTTTGCCTTCTTTTTATTGTTATCATCATAGCACTTTTAATTTTTTGACAACGCTTGATCTACTTCTAAAATCTTAACATCACCAATTTAACTATTGCTTAATTCCATTTGGAATTTCTCCTTGATTGATTAGTGGACTTATGTGTTCAGCCTCAAGTTGACATCTAGACTGCTTGCTAACCACCACCACAGCTACCTCTTGTAAAACTAGTATCATTTATTATTTAATTCAATTCTCGTAACGCAAGTGGTCTAGTGGATAGTGCTCTAGCGTTTGAAGCGATGGGTAGTACTGGGTTCAAGCCTCAGCGAGAACACCATAACTCACTCACTGGGGAATGCAGTTACATCCAGGTGACGAGTCACAAAGCGGAAGAGGTGCGCATCATAGGTTCCACCGCTAGTTACCGTCCACGAAATTACTCCAATTCAGTTATTCATTACTCTTTCAAAATTGTGTAATTGGTTTCCATTTCAACTTTACCCCGTTAAATATCATGCTAATTATCTTTATTCTTATCATCATATGCACAATGACTGGGTAATGTTTAAGGTCACTTAATGCGAACGAGAGTAAAGAATCGACACCAAAGTTAAACGACTTTTAGCCAATCAGTCAGATCTCCATTCAGCACTAAAAATGGATGCTATTCATGGATCTTGACTTCTGTGTGGTAAATGATTTCATGATAGAGAGGGCTAAAACATGCATATTTGGTAAAGGGAGAATGACTCTTCAGAAGTACTGTCAGGCTATTGATGGTTATGCATTCAAATACAATCACTGCCATTACAAGAAGTCCGTAAGAGCTGGTGAGTTGTACATAATGATGATTTTTTAGATACCTTCTACTCGAGACCGAAACTCCGCCTTACTAAAACATTGTGTACATGCCACAATTGGCTACTGAAACGACCAGTATCTTCTACAGCTGAGGAAACAGGGAATTCTAAAATGTTGACATCGCAATGGTATCAGCACTGTAGGGATCTTGACTCAAAAAAGACCAATGGAATTACTTATGTACCTGGAGGAATTGGCGTCGTCGTTCATTATTACCGAAACAGTACTTATTAAACGAAAAATGAATCGCCACGGTAGGAGAAGAGCAAACCATGTTTGGG